GAATCAGTGCTGAGTTCCTGTGCAAACTGAAGGTGTGAAGAACATAACCTTCCAGAAACCACAGCTTAGTTTTTTTTTTTTTTCCCTTTCTATTAATGCACAATGAAGACGATCCCTGCCCTGCTGAAGCACACTGATTCCTCCATTCCCTCTGGACTGGTGCATTTCCTGGCCGCATCCACAAAACGAGGAGCGCGAGTGTCGAGTCGATGCGGAGCTGCTGAGGCTGCGGCCGTCACGCAGAGCTGGATCCTGTTACAACAGTGGTGATGTGCTGTAATGTGAGAGCAGGACTGGATAATAAACAAGTGCATTTATTTATCGCTACATGTGTTTGCATACATTTCCCAGTCTCTCTCGCCCTCTCTCTCTCTCTGTGTGTGTGTGTGTTGGCCTGCATGTGAACCATATGCATTAAGAGCTGCAGAGTTGAAGCTGATGGCGAGGGAACAGAGAGTTCTATATGCTATCTTCCATCCATCTCCAATCCCCCTCTGGCCGTCCCTGTGCGAGCCTCCTGCGGAAGATTGTTTGTTTTGACAGGTAGTGAAATTCATTTCCAGCATCTGTCATATTCTGGAAGAAATCCATTTGAACTTTCTGTCTTGTGTGTTTTTCCGTCACTCAGATTTGTCCGAGTGTCCGTATGCGACAGGGCAGACCGAGAGCCGCACGTGGACCACAACCCTTTTCAGAGAGAAACCTCTTCCGGCCTGTTCTTTTTTATAACACACGAACGATGCATGCATAAACACACAGGGCTGTCTGTGTTGGAGGTTATTATCCTTTCTTATTCTGTCATTATTCAAACATGAGCCGGCTGCCGTCCTGAGGGATAGAGCAGCAAATGAGGGCTTGTTAGGGAACAAACCAACAGACAGGAGCAGATTGGAGGAGCGAGTGGAGCGCAGGGAGATGGAGACGGAACGTCGGGCACTTTTGGATCCATTCCATTCCGTTTTCTCTCCCTGCCTTCTCTGCTCATGCATCTAGACTTTGAATGTATTTATACATTTTAATGCATTTCTTGACTGACTGTTAAAGTTGAGCTATGCTGGAATTTTCTACAAAAAAAAAAATTCCCCGGATGATATCGCAGGAAATTCCCACAGTCCTTGGTGTATCAGAGAAAAATGCTGTGTTCGGGGGTTTTTGGGTAAAATGAAGACTAACAGTTGCCACATGAAGGAACACTGCCAGGCAGTGATTCCCAAGTTAATCTGCAGCTCCCCCTTTTGCAGATAGTTAGTCAACATATTCACCTCTAGTGGTAAATCCTACAAACTGCAGTTTAAAAGAGGAAAAAAGGAAATAAGATTATTACCTTCCATCCTGATCTTCCTTTATGGAGTGCATGTTCTTGGTGTTGGGCACGTGGGTTTTCTCCAGGTCCTCCATTTTCCTTCCATAGACAATAACGTACATAATTAGGTTCATTGTTCACTCTGACAGGTGTGAATGTGGGTGTGAATGTTGTTTGTGGTTTGTCTTAGTATGTTGTCCTGTGATTGACTGAGTGTCCATGTTTTAACTGCCTCAGCCCACCCCTGCTAGCATTAGCTCTAGTCAATGATTACGATTGGTGAAAAGACAACCAAAAGGTGGCAGTAATGTAACTGGAAAGACACAGAGCTGCCATTAAACCCTTAAAGGAGTTGAGAAAGTAAGGCATGGGTAGCAGTGTTAGAGCAGGAGACTAATAATGGGATTCTACTATTTTAAGTAATTTAATTTTGTGGAAAATTTTAACAATAAATTGATTTGTGAGCGTTAATAAGTTTTTAACATATCATGAGGAGGCATGTCTTATTTTAGTTATTTAGTTAGAAAGTAAGTAAGGGAACGAAACAAATTGATGCCATGACACTTAAATGTAAAATTAATTTGCAGATGTAGACAATCTGTGGCTCTTCTGTTGTTTGGATGTTTTCTGGATATCATGGGGACCTGAATGTGTTTCACCAAGAATTCAATCCTTGTAATTTATTCATCTTTGATTTAGTTGGATCTTTGTGGTCAAGCTAAAACTAGCACTTGCACATTAAGGTCTGTTCAAACTGCCAGAAATACAAATTAGTGCAAAGAGGCGGTGTTGTTCAGTAAATGTAAATGTTTATTAACAGTTATTACTTTAAAGCCTTTATATTACTACACAAATGTTCTTGAAATATATTCATATAGACAACAACCTGTTGGCAAAGGACCAGTTAACAATAACAAAAAAGTGATAAAATAAGTGATGCCCTGGCGAAGAGATATTTTATGCGTACTAAAAACCTATTTTTTATTTTTGAAGAAATTGCATCTTAGTTGTAGGAATGTTGTCTCTGTGTGAGTTTCTGACGCCTCCCCCAGCACGAAGTATAAACCTGGGGTTGTTAAAAACCGTGCTTCGCCCACCACCAACCTCCGTGATCCATCTGCTGTGACTTTCTCAAGTGTTTGTTTACTGCCGTCATTCTGAAGATGAATGAAGCGTGAATAAAACATAAACAAAAGAAGCCGCGGCTAAACGCTGCTATTGCTCTGTGTGTGCGCGCGTGTGCATGTGAGTGTGTGTGTGTGTGTGAGTCATGGCTGTACTAGCTTCAGTCAAATACATTGTTATATATTATACATTTTACAGGAGTTTTACTACAATTGTCTTGTTGAACAAGAATGAAGACAAGGGTTAGGATGTCTCTTTTTACACACACACACACACACACACACACACACACACACACACACTGCTATATCTCATTCTAGGTCATTGAAAGTCATGGCTGTAGTGGCCAGGGATCACTGACTGAATGCTAAGGAAGAGGGACACTGCTCTCTGATCAGATCACACAGTGATGTGACAGAGAAAGATCAGTGCTGACATGTCCCTCACCTCCGTCCAGCTCTGATCCGCCCCTGTGGCAGAGAGAAGAGATATGGACAGGACAGAGACAGGACGTGTCACAACCACAGGTGAATACATTTGTTGAGTAATTTCTAACCCCCCCCAAAAAAAGAACCATACAAACCAGGAGCTGTGTAGGAGGGAGCAAATGAAAAATGCACTCTGACTGTGGTTTTCTGTTTCAGACACTACTGCAGTTATTTAATACTCTGTGATGACAACCCTAAAATATAGCTACTGGTGAACTAACTGGAAAACAGTTTGCACTTTTCAAATGCCCGGTAAATAGGAACGTACACAGTCAATATCTTGTTTTTAGCCTATATGCTAGCTGCTCCAGATGCTAAAAGTGCGTCATGCTCACTCAGTTCAGCTTCTTTGTGATGACATGAGTGATTAAAAGGAGTTTCCACTTTGTGTGACTTTTGTTTAAGTAGAAAAACAAGAAAGTTTTTTTTTATTTTTATCATCCTCTGGTACAGTGAAATCACCCAAACCTGCAACAGCATGTTGTGTTAGCTCTGGTGAACTGTTTTTAGCCTTGTATGCTACATTAAATAAGATGAACATAGAAAAATATATACTCAACAGTGCAACAAGTAGAAAAAATATAAAATGACATGGTGAACAAGTTTACAGTCCTGTGTTTTGTTATGATGCTACATACACTGTTAACATCGCTGCTACTTGCAAATGTGCATCATATTTAATAACAATACAGATTAGTAACAATACAGCTAGTTAAAAAACCCACAATATAATCTATCGTTATAAAATTAGCAGCACTGAATCCTCTGACCAAATGTCTTTTGCAAAAAAAAACAAACAAAAAACACAACAGCACTACTAATGGTCAATACTTATAACAGTAAACCCAACATTAAATTAGAAAACAAATAACAAAGCAAATAAAATAAATAAATATAGAAACGTATTCAAA